ATGCAGGGGCCCCCCAATAATCAGACCCAACCAAAAACCCCTCCCAATAAAATTATGAATTGTCTTGCATAAATAGGCTGTTGATTTTCTTTACTCATTTCAGTTATTACCAGCAAAATAGTTTAATCGTCTCAGAATTTGCCCAGATTTATTTATTTATTTAGACAGAGATCCTGACAATATAATTCTAAGAGTAAATAAATGACCACTTACTGTTACATTTAAGACCCATGCTTTTAACTGATCTCCCATCCTTTCTTTTCATTGTTTGACGCAGGAAGCTCCTGGAAGGGGAGGAGTCTCGCTTCAGTGTAGGTATGGCTGGGGGAGTGTCTCCGTTGTACAGCCACAGTTTGTCAGCACCCTCTTTCGCTAGGCCCGTCTTCTCCAGCCTGAGCTCTGGCACCTCCTACCTGATGACCTCACGCCTGCTCAGCTCCAGTGTCAGCACCACTGAAGGCATCATCTCTGCCAGCCACGCCCAGCAAGCAGAGGCCAGCCCACCTGGTGAGGAGGAGGTGGAAGAGGAGGAAAAGGAGGAAGAGGAAGCTAATGAAGAAGAGGTGGGAGAAGAAACAGAGGAGAAAAAGGATGAAGAGGAAGAGGAAGGTGAGGAGGAGGGTGAGAAAGAAGATGAAGCTAAGGAAGTAGAGGAAGAGGATAAGGAAGAAGGCGAGGGTTGGTTTAACTTGCTCAGTCATGTTCTATCAGTCAAATAAATATCAATTATTAGTGTCATGGTAACTAAATTTTCATCTCTTGATTCAGGTGGTGATGAAGAGGAGCAAAAGGAAGATGCAGCAGAAGCTGCCGAAGATGAAGGAGAGAAAGAGGGAAAAGATGAAGGGGAGGAAACTGAAGCACAAGAGGAGGCAAAAGCAGAAGGAGCTGATGACAAAGAAGATGATACAAAAGATGAAGCACAAGAGCAGGAGGAAGTTCAAAAGAGTGAGGAGAAAGAAGATAAAGCTGATGACAAAGACGTGAAAGCTGTTCCAAAAAAAGATGACAAAGCCGAAGTAAAAAAGGAGAAAGTTGAAGAGAAAGCTGCCCAACCTGAGCCAGCTGAAGAGAAGAGCACAAAGGATAAAAAGTAAACCGTTATGGTCAAGACTGTCCACAAAAAAACTGCAGCTTAAAGACAGGTAGAGGCAACAGTGCTGTCCTCTTAGATCTGCTTGTTAACATGGTGCTCAATAACACAGTCCAACAGCCATTTAAAGCAACAAATCAAGGTTAAATGCTTACCAATGTTCCGAATAGCCCATAAAGGTCTTGTTGCACAGTTCTGAGTGAATGTAATAGTGTATGTGTGTGAGAGTTCTGGTGGGTAAATAAATTATTCTTAAAGCCGTGCATCTCACTGATTTTGAGCCCTGATTTAAAGATTATGCTGACATGCATACAGATTTATGATATAGTCCTCATAGGCACTTGGAAATGTAGAGACATGTGTTGATTTATTATTTCCTTAACAGGCAGAGAGGTGAGCAGCCCAATCACTTACCACACACACACTGACAAATACAGACATTTAGAGTCACAACATTGCCTCTAAGATAATTGCTATCCTGCTGTGTTATAAACACTGTCACAAAAGATCCTGCTGTAGTTCAAGATTGATTTTGAACATCAAAGAATGTGGCTTAAAAACCATAATCTTCATCTTACAAATAAAAAACTGTTTAGTAGTAAAATCAGATTAAAACTTTCATCTTCTATACTGTCTGAGATCACTTGCTGCTCACCATATACTGGGTTACAGAGCAAGTTTGTAACTTTTGAATGTTGCCAGGATTTATAGTGAGTATCTAAACTCACTGTGTAGTTTACTCAAAGTATCACATATTGCCTCTTTAAGAATAACATCCAATGATAGTCACTAGCCTAGTCCTTCAAAGATCTGAGATCATTATGCATTGGAATGAAGGGGAAATGACAAATGAATATGAGGAAGAAAAGAAGCATCAATGGGTGCAAAGTATTCATCTTTATTAAGCTAAGGTAATATGCTCAGTATGTTATGTATGTATCAGAAATATCACAGAAATATATGCTGGCATTTACACATAGCTAAATTTCATTTACCACATTACAACTGTTTAACAGCAATGAAGAACTGAAAAGAAAATCATCTCAATAACATCAAAAACGTGTTCCTCATGTCACCAATTACATTAAAGCATTGTGATCTAATTGAATTCCCTACAGAAGGAATTGAGAGTAGTGAAGTTCAGAGCATTAAAAGGCATGTTTTCAGACTATAACAGAGATATTTTTGGTGTTTATGGATAGTTACCACCTTCACCTGCTGAATCATTTGAATTGTGATTTAAGGGGTGGAGTTTGCTGACACAGGCTGCTGTTGTTGGTAGACTGGGAGTCACTGAACTGGAAATGTCGCCAATGTTTGTGATGTGAGTGCCTTGTAGGGCATTTTAGGTTTATTAGCATTGATTACTACCATTGATTAGCAGCAGGAGTGACAAAAGTACTGACTTTCTTTATTTAAGTAGAAGTACAGATGCCTTTACTCCAGTAAAAGTTGTAGTACTGAAGTGACTTTTTTACTCAAGTAAAAGCAAAAAAAAGTACAGGCTCTGAATTTACTAACAATGGAAAAAGTAGCTACACAATTCTACTAGCCATTTTTGTACAAATGTAACTGAACCTTGTGCTATATTAATATAATAATAATTAAATATTAGTATATGAGAATATAGAAATTATTAACATTTTAACGTTCTAATTTCAATCAAACTGCTGTGTTTGAATCTATTATACAGGGCACATGCAGTGAAAGAAAATTTAAAACAAAAATGCTATTTTCTGTCACCTACGTTGCAGACGAGGACTTTCCCTCCACACCTAAACAGTAAAACAAGGCAGGGGTTAAAGTGGGTGGGATTCAGCAGGTCGGGAAACCCCGTGTAGTGATCTGTGTACTGGATCAGCATGGGGAAAATAATCACAACTCACAATAATTTCTAATATAAGCTTCAGTAGATATTCTTGGTGTACATGATGTGAACAGCTGACCTGTTGCTCTTTGTGGATTTATGCAACTGAACTGGCTGATGTCCATCCCCTACAGTGACACTACTTTGTTTATACTGTCTTTACACTAGACTGTATAAAGTTGGAAGTCAGTGAATGAATCTAAACATCATCAGCTTAAATGCAAAATTCATCTTTGCTTCGCTTGATGTAACATCCCTTCAGGCTTCCTCCTCTTCTGTAGTGCTAGTCACATTCTGAAGTACTGCAAACACAATTTAATATAAATATAATATAATAAAAACACTACAAGAAAGTGCAGATATTTGTTTAAAAATGAAGGGGAAATGTAGTTGAAAGTTGTCAGAAAAATAAATACTCATGTAAAAGTTCAGATACCTGAAAATTCTACTTAAGCACAGTAAAGAAGTATTTGTACGTAGTTACATCCCACCTCTGATTAGCAGGTATTGTATGTATGCATCCATCTTTTATTTACAGTCTATAGCCATACTATAGTCTATAAGCGCAGTAGTGATATGCGGATCGATACTGAAATATCGATTCCTCCGATACCAGTCATTCATGTTCTTGAATCGATTCTCATATTAAAATATTGATATTTTAGTAATTTAGGGTAAATTTGTAGTTTATCATTAACAGGAACACAGTGGAAAGAAACTATAACATTCGGATTGTCTACATTCGAAGGAACTACTTCCTCTTCCGCCTTTCATAGTCATATGCGAAATATGGCTGTATAAATGTGTTGCAGCCCCTTGGCGTGCGCACTCACAACAATGGCTGAGCGTAAATGGAGTCATGTGTGGCCGTATTTTACCTCCACAAACAGCCAAGACTTGTGATACATGTGGCAAGAAAGTGAGGTGTTGTGGCCACACCACTAACCTCGTCAAACACCTCAGAGTAAATCATATCACAGAATATGACGTCTCTCGCGGAGTCCTTTAGTGCTGCAGGCAGGCAGCGTGTTCAAATAGCGCACAACTTCAGTTTTTTTATTTCTATGAATTCTGCATTATTAAGTGATAAGAACGAGTACTCTGATATCCTGTAATCATGTTGACGCTATAATTTGAGATACAATAAAAGATACAATAAATAAAATATGTTTTTGTACAAAGTATCGGTATCGGATCAGTATCGTCGATACCACCCTGAATTTTACTTGGTATGGGATCGGAAAGGAAATCAGTGGTATCGCACATCACTAAAGCGCAGCAGCCTTGGGCTCGGTGCCAGTAAAGGGATAGATGCTTAAAAGTGACGCTTCTCACTTTTAAGACATACTTTTATTTTAATTTAAACACCACACAGCCAAAGTTTACGGATAAAGAAAGAGAGGAATGGAGGCCAGAGAAACGAGCTTCCATGACTGCCAAGTTCGTTTGGTTTCTTTAAAAAGAAAAGTAGCAACAAGAACCAAACTCGCTTGTCCAGGACTTAATGTTTCTAAACTGGTGCAATGCGGAGAAGTGCGAGTACACTACGAGATACTTTATTTCCATGCATTTATTTTTAAATGAAATTCATGCTGATACTAATGATTAACCAGTGACACCCAACCAAGATCGCCCATGGCATTGTTTTCCCAATTATCTCAAATAGCTCCCTGTAGTTAATATTCTGTTATCTCTCCTAATGTGATTTTTTTTTTGTTGTTGTTGTTGTTTAAAAATGCCATTTACACACAAACACACACTGGTCCACGTCATTAAATTAGGCTTTTGGAACCCTTGTGGTGGGCTTTTAAAAAGACACTGATGCTATTTAATACTGATTTTCTGCACCCAGCCTGTTAGTGATCACATCTGTCGTCACTGCTGGGTTTATGTTGCTGTTGACAGGAAACAAACCACAGTAACTACATTCAATTGCTAATAAACTATGTAATATTCCGTAGCTGTAATGCTGTATTGCTGCAGTGCTGTATACAGTTGCAAAAAATATGATTAAAGGAATAATAAAGTGACAACAGACAGTTGGCGTTTTGAAGATCTTTATGACATTTATTGAGCAAATGCTGCTGGGAAATTGTTCATGATGAGTAAAGTCATGGGATTGCAAACAGTAGCACCTCATTAAATTCTGTATTTAAATTCAAGTCCATCCTATGCATACAGGAATGCATGTTTCTATCATTTACAGTATATATTTTTTTCAGTTGCAGTCAGGTAAACATAACAGACACTGATAAAAAGCATGTTTAAGGCTAGGAGTTTCTTTAGGTTTCTTAAGCTTTATCTGCTTCGGTAAATGGATGTATATGGTATTGTGTTTATCATATCACCGTCCATTTCTTCCGTCACTGTTGGCTGTGTATTTGTTGTTGTTAGTTTCTTTTTGGCTCAGTTGGTATCTTCACGTGTCAAGTAAGGCTTCGTCAGTAGAATACATATGTCTGCATCGAGGACCCTCCATCCGCCAGTCCCCCACTTTTGCTTCAACTCCAAAACCCTCTCCGCAGTAATATTGTTTATTGATTGCTTTCTAGTATTTACTCTTTTTAAGGTGTATTTCTACCATACAGAGAGGAAAGTATTCCGCTCCCCTGAGCTAACATGCAGAGACACCCCACCCACCCAAGCACCCACCCATTCGTGAGCTCACCCACTAACTGCAGAAAGGAAAAAAATATAAGGAAGAATAAAATATCTCAGTCACTTGCTCCTGTCCGCGTCTGCTGTGAAGCCCGTTTGAAGCTTTCACTCAACATGCATTTTTGAAATTTGTAGCATTTAACTTTTGTCTTCTCGCTCTGACTTGTTTTGTATGTTTGAGAGTGGTTATCTTTATTACATCGCTCTAGCTGTATGATTTTCTTTGTTATGTTAGTTCTGGATTGATTGCTTGTGTTGTTCTCTCCCCTTCCTCCCCTCCTTCTCTGCTCGCTCACTCACTCTCCGTCACCTGCTTGATGGACTGAGTGGAGTGTTTCTCGGTCTTCTTAGTAGAGACCAGTTTCTCCTGCAGCATCTCTTCCGCCTCCTTCACTGTTTCGGTCACAGTGACGGACTTGATGACATGCTTTGACCCATCCTCTCCGGTGGTGATTGTCTCCACGGTCTTGGTGATCACAACCTTCTGGCTGCCGTCTTCCTTGACAGGACTCTCGTCTACGCCGTTGGTGATCACATCAGCTTCTTTTCCTTCATCCTTCTTCTCTTTCTCCTCAGGGCTACTCTTGTCTATGTCACCGTTCATGGCAACATCTTTCTTTTCAACTTTCTTCTCTTCTGTTGGCTCGCTCTTTTTCTCAGTCTTGTCTTCAGTGCTTTTAGGAGCCTCAGGCTTTGCGGTCTCGGTCTTTGGGGATTCAGCTTTTGGGGAGCTAGATTTTGGGGATGCTTCTTTTGGAGACTCTGCTTTAGGAGAAGCAGGCTTGGGAGATTCAGATTTAGGAGACTCTGGTTTTGGTGATTCAGACTTGGGGGAGGCAGGCTTAGGGGATTCAGACTTGGGGGAGGCAGGTCTAGGAGATTCAGACTTGGGGGAGGCAGGCCTAGGGGATTCAGATTTGGGAGACGCAGGCTTTGGGGAATCTGACTTTGGAGAGTCAGGTTTTGATCCCTCTGTTTTGGGAGCTTCTTCTTTCTTTGGAAATTCAGGTTTTGTTTCCTCAGATTTAGGAGCATCTTCTTTCTTGGCCTCGGCCTTTGTAGCTTCAGTTTTTGGAGCCTCTGTCTGGGTTACAGCTGGTTCTGAGTCTGGCTCATCTTTTCCCTTCTTCTCATCTCCCTTTTTGCCTGCATCCTCTTTTTCCTCCTTCTCATCTCCACTTTTGGATGCTTTGTCACTACCTGCATCTTCATCCTGATCTCCACTCTCTTCTTCAGCACCTGCTCCCTCCTCTTCTCCACTGCCCTCTTTGTCTCCAGCCTTCTCTTTGTCAGGAGAGGCTTTAGACTCTGGAGCTTTGGTGCACAACATTGTCTCCTCAACTTCTTCCTCCTCTCCTCCTCCCTCTCCTTCTTCATCACCTCCCTCTGCATCATCCCCCTTTTTTCCCTCATCCTCACCCTCACCACCTTCTCCCTCTGCTTCTTCTTCCTTCTCATCCTCACCACCTTCTCCCTCTCCCTCTTCTCCCTCATCACCACCTTTTTCATCCTCCTCTTCCTCCTTGCTGGGCGCACTTGAGCTAACTTTGGCTTCAGTGACAGCTACGACTTCTTCTTCTGCTTCTCCTCCCTCCTCTCCTTCTCCCTCTTCCACCTCACCCTCTGCTTCCTCTCCCTCTGCCTTCTCCTCCCCTTCTTCCTCTTCACCCTCCTCTCCTTCCTGTGTGGCAGAGAGCTCTTGCGCTAGCTCTGCCAGGGCCTCATCCATTTCAGCCTTCTCATCCTCAACCCTTGTCTCCTCAATGATCTCCTCCACAAACTTGTGCTGCACCTTAAGCTTTGTGGGCTCCGACTTAGGCTTAGAGATTTTAGTGGTGGTGACAGTCTGGCGGTAAGGAAAAGTGCTGAAGTGGGTCTCCTCACCCTCTAGGAGTTTCCTAGTGTAACAAATGCATAAATCAGATATTTAAAGTATGCTTCTATATGAAAAGGACTGCAAATATTGTTTCAAAATTAAATTTCAATTGTGCATGAGTGTATCCTGTACCTGTATGCAGCTATTTCAATGTCTAAGGCCATCTTGACATTGAGCAGGTCCTGGTACTCGCGCAGGTGACGAGCCATCTCCCATTTGGTGCTCTTGAGCTCATTATCCAGCTGGTGAATTGTTTCCTGAGTGAAATACACAAAAATCAGCTGTTGTTATAGGGTTGAATATGTTGAATAATTTAAATGCAATACGAGGTCCAGTGCTCAAAACCAGTCTTCATGTATTATGCAATTTTTTTTTGAAGCCTTAATAGTTTTTCCAAATTATCTGTTGCAGTGCTGCCCATGTCTTTCTGTAAACTCTGCAGACTCTGCGCAACAAGGCTGCTTGCTTTTTAATACATTCTGACGCAATACAGTATTCTAGAGATGTTGAATGCCTCTGTTTCAAGGGCAGCCTCCGCACTCTTTCAATACACCCCCACCCTCGCCCTAAAATCTCAGTGGTGTGATGCAAGGACAGAGCCAATCAAGGCATCGACCCATTGCCTCTGACTCAGCAAGAGAGAGAGAGAGAGCGGGAGAGAGAGAGTCTGCTGCAGCGATTCCCTTTTAACCATTTCGTGACTCTTGGAAATCTCTCCAGCTTGTGAATACAATCAGCCTGCTTAAGAGAAAAGTGTTTGTGCTGAACAGTCACAGTTAGGCAGAAGGGGACAAATGTTACAGAACCTGTCAAAGATAATAGAAACTAATATTTTATATTTGTGAATCTTTTTTTTATTTGATTTTAAAGGCTCACGCTTAAATGCTGCGTCAGTAAAACGTAAATGTGTCCTATTAAGAACATCAACTCTTTTATCAAGTTTTAAAAACAGGCTACACAATTCTTTAAGAATAATCTATGACAGGGATCAATAAAGTATTCTGATTCTGATTCTGATTTCAAAACAGAATTGCCTTGTTTTAGAGTTGAACGTCTGTTCTCAGCCCACTCACCGCTCTTACCGGGCTGCCTTCTTACCTGCAGGCTGGCCAGGTCGCTGTTGTGGCGGTCCTCGATGTCATTAAGCTGTCTCTCCAGTGAGTCTCTTGTACCGCGGACGGACTCCAGCTCCACCGTCTTGGACTGCAGCTGACGGCGATAGTCGGCTATCTCGTCACGGGCGGACTTTATGGCGTCCTTGTTTTGCTCTGCAGCCTCGGTCAGCTTGACGTAGCGGCACATGAACCAGTTTTCCACCTGCTGCAGGTTCTGGTTGGAGTGGCCCTCCAGTTCGCTTCGAATCTCCCGGAGAGCCTCGGTGATGTCAGCCTTCTGGAGGTCTTTCCTTTCCACTGTCACCTGAGACGCCTGAATCTGGGCGATGAGGTCGCTGACTTCTTCCTCGTGATTGTTGCGGATGAAGGCGATTTCATCCTGCAGCGACTGAACTTTCTTCTCCAACTCAGACTTTACCAACTCCGAGTCGCTCATGTCCTTCTTCAGGACACGGATTATGGCCTCTGTCTCCTCTCGGATGCGAGCTTCTTCTTCAAAGCGGTCTCTGATCCGCTGGATGTCCTCGTCGATGTGGTCCGTGTCGAGCTGAATTTGTGCCTTGTCATGGTGGATTTGCTCCAGCAGCTCCCGTAGCTCCCGCAGCTCCTGGTCATAGAGGTCGTCCATCTGGGAGCGCGACACCTGTTTGTGCCGCAGTGCCTGGATCTCCGCCTCGATCTGCTTGTTCTGCTGCTCCAGGTAGTGCACCTTGTCAATGTAAACAACAAACCGGTCATTGAGCCCTTGAAGTTGCTCTTTCTCGTTAGAACGCTTGTAGTCTCCGTTCAGAATAGAGGTTTGACTATAATCAACGCTGTCGGCGGAGCTCAGCACAGCTGAGCTGTATGCCCGGGTTGCCGGCATATTCACGCTCCTCTTGTAAGACGTGGTCACGGTGGAGCCGGGACTGGCCCGGGACCAGGACTGGGACCGAAAGCCGCTGGAGGGGGTGCCGCTGGAGCGGCTGTAGCCATAGCTGGTCGTTCTGGTATCCATAGTTCTCCTGAAGGGACTCCCTACAGTGTCCACCGGGTAACTCATCCGGTTAGACCACAGAAGGGGATGTGCGCAAGAATGAAGGAGGACGGTGCAGGACGTGCAGGAGTGTGGCGAACGTTTATGTGGGTGTATGTGTGCGTGCAGGTGAGGGGTGTGTGGCTCTCACAGCGACTGAGACCTCCTCTGCGTGCTCCTTATATATCCGAGGCTCTGCAGTTGCCAAAGCAAGTATGAGGCAATTTTATTCCATCCACTGAAATAGGGGGAGGGGAGGGCGCATCCCCCTCGGGCCGTCTGCTAATGGTCCGGGGTCCCGTTCAGCCTGAACCACGTGGGCTATACGGGTTACGTGGGTGTCCGGCTTAAAGTAACCTGACAAAGTAGATAGATAGATAGATAGATAGATAGATAGATAGATAGATAGATAGATAGATAGATGTAGCCCCCTCTTAGTTCAGCACCATGGACAGCAACATGCAGTTCAACAGCAGTATCAGTTGCATTTATTCTCGGTTGAAAAAATAAACATTCTTATCCTTCTTGTCAATAATACGGTATAAAGAAGGTAAAAGGGAGTGCCCACCCAGTGATCCACAGTGTGTGTGTGTGTGTGTGTGTGTGTGTGTGTGTGTGTGTGTGTGTGTGTGTGTGTGTGTGTGTGCGTGCGTGCGTTCCTGTCTGCATGCTGTATTTTTGTGTTTACATTAATATTGTCCATAGTTTGTCTTTTTGGATCACTGCTGCACAGGGTAGTCAAAAACAAGCCATTTTTTGAGGGGGTGGGATTTTTAGTCTTTGTTGGACAGAGCAGTAAAGAGCTTATATTAAAGTAGGAGGAGATCAAGGTGGAATGACTTGCAGGAAATGGCCCAGGGTGGAATAAAGCCTGTGCCTTCCTTAGAAGCCTTTTGGCATATAGGCAACCTGCTCAACCAAGTGAGTTATAGTGGCACTCCATCCCAAATAAATAGCTTACCTTATCAAACATCTATGGCCACACATACAGATAATTCAAACTTTAAAGTTGAGTGTTTTTTCTGTTTACCAACACTTCTAACCATTAATTGATTTCCAAACTTCCGTGAAAAGAAAAATATCATCATAAAGAAGCTGGATTAATTTTCATGAAGAGAAGTCTGTTTAGGTTAAGGCACAGCTACAAAGTACACTGAATTTTCCAACTCCTGACACAGTCTGTTCTTACAATTGAATGTCTAAACATCAGGTATTCATTCAATAACTTGGTTAACCGACTTTTGTTTTCTTTTTAATCTCCATCATGACAAAATATAATCTTTGTTAATTTACAGAACTGTTTAGAAATTAGTCTGTACAACCTACACGGAAATGTGTTTTAGCTACAACACTGTAATAGTCAGTGTTTATATTTGTACATGCTGCACGTAAACTTTCTTCCAAGTTAGTAGGATTTTTGCATGGGATTTGTGAGTTATCGAAGCATTTGATAAGGACATTTCACCCTCAACAAATGAAGCCTCACTGTGTAGGTTGGCTGCATTGTGGCTTGGGCCATCAGGGTATTGATCTTCTGTCAATCTTGAAGCTTCACTCAAATATCGTGTGACTTTGATCAATGTGAAAATGATTGTTGAAGGTAATGCACCACAAACAGCTGCATCCGCCTTTTTTCCCCTCCACTGCTTATTTAATTCTGTCAAAATTCTCAAACCTCTCCTCTGCAAGTGCAACCATATTTAAAATCCTGCAAAGCCAGTGCGGACATAAGGACCAAGACAGATACTTTATTGCACATCTGGAGATTGCACTTTAAATTTAAAGCTTTTCAAATAATAATAATAATAATTATCACCTTGATCTACAGTTTATGTCCCCGTCCCCCCCCCCCCCCCCCCCCCCCCTCATTTCCTTCTGCTGAAAGGTTTAGTCAGGCAGTACAAATGCATCAAGCTTGGCCAATTTTAGATTGCTCCAGAGACAGAAAGGCAGACAGCGAGAGAAGAAGAGAGAGAGGAAGACAGAGAGGGATACAGAGAAAGTCACAATGACTTTCTCGCCCTGTTTATGCATGTCTGCCTATTCTAAGCGCCATCGTGTATTGTAAGTAATTATACTCCAGGAGCCACACCCCAGTCTCTCTGTTTGCAGACTTTACTGTGCCCTTGATCACTGTCCCATGACGTTCTCTTCGGGCCCTGATACTGGCTGCAGGATTTCAGACAGATATATTTGCTGTAGGGCTGTCGACTCAGAACCTTGAGGTGCTTTTAGATGCCCTATGAGGGCGGTGGTGGTGTGATGTACAACTTAGAGTGAGTGTGGGTGGGTTGGGCAGAAAAAGGGGAGTCATTCAACATCAGTTTTGGGCTCCAGCGCACTGCAGAAGGGTTGGAGTGTTTTCAAATAGCACTGCAGTAGAAACAGGCTCTAACAAGGAGACAAGCCCATCCCAGTCAGCCCCAGTCTGTCCCAGCCTGCAACCTGCAGTGAGCCCTCCACAGTATTGAAGTGTACCCGCGTGGGGTCAAGGTGTGGACAACCTTAAGTTGCATAGTGTAGAGGTGTACTGTTACATATTCACAGTAAGCTGCAAGGTCAGCGTGACCTTTTATTAAACCGATACGAGTGGATCATAAAAATGAGCAGCAGCATAGCAATCTTTTGTAATAACAGAATAACACAAACATATGTAAGACATTCACCTGTAAACTTAACACATAAACATCCTTGCATCAACTGACTAATAATGAAACTAGTCGTTCAACTACAGTTTATAATACCTTGACTGTGTTTGCTTCACATTCATGTGTAAACTATATACACATGAACATACATGCAGTTCATTTGTTTTGCCATTTTGTGTAGAGCCAGAGGTGGTCATTTGCAAAAGTAGTTCACTAATGAAAAAAAAATTGTGCTTAAAGGTGTATTACTGTTGATCAACAAATATCAACAGATGTTGCTGCATCCTGTATCAGAGGTTACCTGAATAATCTTACTTTCTTCAATACTCCCATCTAAAAGTGTCATGAAATACAAAACTAAGACGAAAGTTTCATCTTTCCCATGGGTAGTGGGTCATAATTATTTATTTATTGTTTATTTATGTGTTTATGGTTTATATGATTGGTGAACACACGCTCACTTTCTGCATTACATTCAGTTGAGTGATATTTTATGCTTAAAAATGTCCTATGAAATAATTTCATACTCCATATTCTACACGCTAAGTGTGTATTGAAAATGATATATTTGCACTAATGATGACTCTGTAGACTTCCATGTAGTTATAGCTATAGACTTTCAAAGTTATACATACATTTCACTAATAGAAATATTGCCTTTACCTTTAAAATAAAATCTATCTATCTATCTATCTATCTATCTATCTATCTATCTATCTATCTATCTATCTATCTATCTATCTATCTATCTATCTATCTATCTATCTGTATGCATATCTATACATACGTATGCATATCTATATATATATGTATATATCAGTTTTGTACTTTGGTACAACTACACTGAATAAAAAATGAGAGAGTCAATAGCTTCAAGCACAGAGCACATATACCAAAGTCCAAACAACCGTTTAATTGTCAAATCTAAACCTGGTTCTCCCAGAGGTTTCTTCCTGTTACAGTTTTTCTCCATTGGTTTGGCTCATTTCTTGAAACAGAAATTACATTCTCAAAACTCTAAGATCATTTGGCAAAACACTCTTACAGTTTAGCACAACACTATAGCTCACCCGCAAAAGCTCATATCTCTTCCAAAACTGTTCACACAGGCTTCAATCTAAATCCCTTTCGCATTTAAACAGTCAGTGTCTCCAAAATGGCAAAGATCCTTCTCAATAGCTTTGGCTCATTTCTCGACACAGATGGGACATTCTCATCATTCTTGGTGCTTTTGTCAAAATAAACCTGGATGGTTGATCACAACAACATGGTCCACCTGCAAAAGCTCATATCTCTCCTAAAACTGTTCACTCATGTGTCAAAACTACATTTCTTTCTAATCTGAATAGTCAGTGCCCCCAAAATGCATCATCCCTTTGGCATTGTGTGAGTACTGCCATACAAAATGTTTAGATGTTTTGTCACTATGGCAGAGGACCAACAATATACAACAGAAAAGAGTAGCCTCCAAGGTTTGACATCACAGATTGCACTCACACTACCAAGGAAGTTATAACCATTTTTTATTCACACGCAAAGAAAGTTTCATACATATGTAAAAAGAAAATGTACATTACAGTAGTAAATTGTATGAACACAAAATCAAAAAGCAAGGACTTATTCAGTGGTTGCTGTACTCATTCTCCCGCTCTTGTCCACTGTCTTCACCCTCCTGATTATTTACACGCTGTTGTCCGTCTGGCCACAGATTCTCGTCCACATCACAGCGGATACTTTCTCTAGCAATGCAACGAGGGAAGACACGGCGTGCATGCCGCAACCATCCCCTGCATTGATCTCCTGTAATGTCGTCACACGCTGCGTCCATAGCATGGAGCAGGAACGGCTGATCCTGAGCATGATGCTCATACACTCTCCAGCTCCAAGCAGAGAAAAACTCCTCTATCGGATTGAGGAAAGGAGAGTAAGGTGGTAGGAACCCCATGACCATCCTTGGATGCGTTGCAAACCAGCTCCTAATGAGTGGGCTATGGTGGAAATTGACATTGTCCCACACAATTACATGAATGGGTAGGTGAGGCCCTATGAGACCTCTCTCATTTTCAGGGATAAAATCGGTATAAAGGCGATCCAAGAAGATGAGGAGCTTGTGTGTGTTGTATGGGCCAAGACTGGGGATGTGAGTGGCCACACCATTCTCAGAAATGGCAGCACACATAGTTATATTGACCCCTCGCTGACCTGGGACATCCACTGTGGCCCGGTGGCCAATAATATTACGGCCACGTCTTCGGCCCTTGGCCAGGTTGAAGCCAGCTTCATCCACGAACACCAGGATGTGAGGGGTCTCATGTCCTTCCAATGCCATTATTCTCTAAAATAGAGTAAAGAACATAAAATCAGTCATACAGAAGAGTCATATACTACAGTTAGACAATTACATGTTCTCCCCCACAGGTTCAATATACTACAGGCCACTGCTCCAGTGGTTCTAAACTAGTGATAGGCCTATGAGGAAGTACTGCAGGGTATTTGATAGAAAGGGGAGTGGGAAATACTGATGACTTACTGAGATGTTACAGTAAAACCTACAGTATTAGATAGA